TTTAAACAGGCGCTGGTGTGTAGCTTAGTGATAGATTCTATCATGTCAATCATGAACAAAACTCTGGGTTTGTTTTTATTTATTATTATTTTGGTTTTTTTTCGGTATTGAGGTTTGAACTCAGGCCTTGCACTTGCCCCAAGACCTTGGGTTTGATCCCCAGCACTTCCCCATCTTTTAAATAAATGCACATATAAGAAAACAATTAAGGCCATTTCCTGGGTTACCATACTTGGTACTAAGTTTATAACATTTATTCCACATTATATAATATAATATATAACTCCTGCTATCTGCTCAAGACAGATAACAGGCCCTGAAAAGGGACAAAGTGGCTAACCTGTGATATGCCAAGGTTTTTTGATAATCGAAACTCACTTTGAACAGGCAACACAGCCACCGGGCTGGATCTGCCATCAAGAGCATCCTGTTCCCAACTCCGCACTGTGTGTACCTGTGCAAACACACACCCCTGGGGGTAAAAACAGTTGGCCCTAGCAAGTTATCTGTTGCATAACAAGGAAGCAGGGAATGGATGGTAGCATTTAGCTTAAGTAGCACAGAGGTCCCTGCTTTCAGATCTGAAACCCAGGAACCAGTTTACAGCAGTTTATAATCTGCATGGCAGATGTCTCTTATCTTAGACACCATGGAATCATGCCTACATATGCACAGTGAACAGCTTCAGATGAGTGTATTTTTAGAACAATGGGTCTTGAAAAGAAAAGCAGCAACGTCTGTCAAAAGATGGATAATAGGAAAGCTAACTACTTGGTCTGCATTTGTCAACTATTAATCAAGTGTCAAAAAGGAAAAATACAAGGATTGCCATTTCCATGCTGAGTGCAATCCAAGGGGGAAACGGCTTTGCAGCCCAACCTCAAACAAGCTGCCCATACCATTTAAGGGAATGAGCTACTCATTTCAAGCTCAGCTGAACTAGCAGATCACCTCCGTCGCTCCTGATCTGTTCAAATAGAACAGGCCTGTGTGTGGTGGAGAGAGGAGTCAGGCTCTGGCAGGGATGAAATGAAGGAGCCTGTGCCAGTCTGTGTTTGTCCAGGGTTTGAAGGCACTGGCTGATTCTTTGATGGGCTGTGATCCTACTGCTAGAGAGAGCACAGGGAAGTCAGCCAGTAAATGAACCTTCAAACCTGGTCTTCACTTCCCACGCAAATTGGGGTAGGGAGAGTGCACAATTAACATGAAAAAGACCCTTCTGAGATGAAAACCCCTGTTCAGATTTCAGTGCAGACTCATAAGAAATAATGCATTCAAGTGTGTGTGTGTGTGTGTGTGTTCTACATATATACATTTGGAAAATAAGTGGTATGAGCAAAAAGGTCTTCTGTCTTGTTTCCTCTATTTTCAGTGCCTAGAACAGTGCCTGACACACAGGGGCTCCCCAACCCATCAGAAGGAACCGAGTGTACTTCCTGAACACATGAAAGCAACTCATCCACACGAAGACCTTAGGAGGAGGGTGTTATTAGCACTCCATTTATAGAGGGAGGCAATGAAGCACAGGATACCGAGTCATTGCTCGAGGTCATGCAGCTGGTAAGATGTGAACCTAGGTTTGTCCAATGCCAAGACTGGTGTTTTCTCATACACCAGAGCCAGGCAGAGGAAGCTGAATGGGCACTGTCCCCCCGCCAATACACGTTGGGGACCAAGCAGTAACACCCAGGATCTGCATGGCCAGAAGGTACAGTGTTAGTAACTACCTGCTGGCACCCTACCTGAGCTCTGGGGCCGCCAGGTGGGACAGAGATCAAATCGACTAAAAGCTTTCTTTTTCTGTCATGAGACTTGTTGGGCATGAATGTCATCTTTTTAAAACTAGATATTGTCTAGTTTTGCTTTCTTGTAGTCCACTGTGAGGGATGGCTGAATGATATGAGACTTCACTGCAAGATAGGGAGCCTCAGAGGCTAGTAAGAGACTGGCCCAAGTGTGTGGTTCTAATAGATTTGAGCCAGGATGAGCTCATGTACTGGCTTGAAGAAAACACAGAAATCTGGGATATATGCTGTCATCTCAAGTTCCTCTCATATATGGAAGGGAAAAGCACCAGGGTCAGAATGGCACAGAACTGCATTCTGGGAGATATCCTGGAAGCTTCTGGGGCCACCTGGGAATTTCAATTAGGTTCACCTCTGCATTGGGCTGAGATGGGGCGTAGCTGATCTCACCTGTTATTCATAATCTAGTGCTCACCCTTAGGTACACTGCCTTAATTACAGCTCCCGGGATGCTGACCCCTTCTCCCACATCACAAATATGATTTGCTCATTTGTTATCCATTGAAATGATTTAACTAGATGGACTTTGGGGTGTGTGTGCATGCATGGGTGCGTGTGTGTGTGTGTGTGTGTTTGTGTTCAATGCCAGCTAACAGTGACACCTGGTGGTAACAAGCAGCAAGGTTATACCCTTCCCCCAACTCTGCTCCCTCAAGTTGCAAGATTTATGCTGCCTCCTTACAAGGCACATTCGGTAGATAAACTGGAATGGCATCTCCGTTCTTAGCATTTACAGCCTCAGTTATATTAACCATCCCTGATCAATTTCCATTTCCAGAGTTTACAGCTTGGATGTAAAAGCTTGCCACAAAAGGCTGTATTTAATATGACAAATTAAAAAAACAAACACAGGCTTGGTCATTCTTTGGAGCCAGGAAAAGCAAACAGGAAGAAGGAAAACCCAACTGTAGTGCACACAAAGAGGAATTTTCATAGAGCGGTCAAGTTTGCCTCCATTCTACACAATGAAGGCCCCTGAGGTTCAAACCCCACCTGCATGGGGGCCCACACAGGCGCCTGCTCCCTGGCTGGGGTACCCCTCTATCTCCTGTCGGAAGGCTCAGAGCAGCCATGCCTGGCACACTCCTTTACCAGCCCTCTGGCAAACAGAGGGGATGGTGGGGACATCACCACTTCTGAAAGAAGCTGGTCATCTCTGGACAGCTCTGCCTTTCACTGGCTCTTCTGAATCCTAAGCAAGGCCTGGCTTTTTGCAAACTCCCAACCACAGGGCACCCCCCCAAACACAACTGAGCTTTCCCTTTTCCCATGAGAGTAGATGTGTATATGTCAGTCTGACAGCTGTGTGGAGAATAACAAGGGGCAGGAGTAGAGGCAGAGGCTAGTGTGGAGGTTTCTGCAGTTATTCAGGTTATGGTGATGGTGGCCTGGCCTACACTGGTGCTTGGAGGGGAAGAGAAACAATCTGAAGAGAGATTTTCCAAAATGCTTTCTCTTGGTAATGGATGAGGGGAGGGAACAGTGGATTCAGGACAAGCAGCCCTCTGGGCCTGCAGAGTGGGGACTCCATCTCATGCAGGGGCGTGGCTCATCAGCACTAGCGGGTTTGACTGGTCAGTACAATCAGCCCACCTTCTCTCTCTCTTTATGTGGTAATGTGGCTCATATAGACACCAGGTTTCCTATTGTCTCAGGCTTCTTTTCCCATTTAGAGAGCTTATTAATTTCTAAATCAAGATGCCAAATCAGCTCCTGATCAAGGACAACACTGATTTTTTTCCCTGACTTCAAAGTAAGTTTGCAGATGATGTGTGTGAAGCAATCAACCTTGCACTTCCTCCCCTCCTGCAAGGCAGAGGGAGGTCATCTGACTCAACCCTGAACAGAATGCATGGAATGCACGCTGGAGCAAACAAAGGGAGCCTAGTCAAATGGTCTGCATGCATCTGCCTCCTCCTGAGGCACCTTGAATACTAACTCAAGATTCAGCAAGCTCCACTTCCAGGTTTAATTGCTTTCGGTAGCAAAAAAGGGAGCATTAGAAATGAAAAGAAAATGAATTGTGAATATTAGCTTGTTTGATGGCTCTGAACCTAAAGGATGGCATGCTGTGGGTACAGGAAAAGTATAATGGGACAGAGTGTGAAAATCAGATCTCTACAGCTCTTGGTTTGTAACAGGCACCCAAAAGAATTTAAGATGAAGTCATCATGTTCTTGAGTTGCACTTAAATCACAGCACTATCAGCTGTTAGGCACTGCCCAACCCAGGGAGGGCTATTTTTACCCTAAGTTGGCTCTTTAGGAACCAGAAGCAACTTGGGATGCACCCTGTGCTCCAGAAACTATGATTCTGGGCCTAAGTGATGCGATGGAAAAAGGACAGAAAGAAAAAAGGCTACTGGGGAATCAAGGGCAAAACACTGCAAAGACAATAAATCAATTCAAAAAGAGATTCCCCTCACTTTCAGGGAGTACAAGGTTTATAAGGCAGCAGGTTGCTCTCCTTATTCCACAGCCAGAGTGGTGGTCTTTGAGCTCCTAGCGGAACAAGGTGACTCCTAATTCCTACCCTACTAAGGATGATCAGGGACCTGCCTCTAACACCTGGGAGGAGGGATCCTGCAGCATGGCTGGCAGCAGGTGTCCAGAGGACAGCAGTTTCAGATTATAGGCTATTCCCAGGAGGAAGGAGAGCTGAGGAAAGGGGGCCAGCATGTACTTTCAGTTTTAAGTCTGAGGATGCAGCTGTGCTCACATGTTCAGTTTACAAGAAAAAATCACTTATACTTGAGCAACTGGAAACAGCATCTTCTATTAGAAGTGGTACAGTCATTCTCTAATAAGCACATTATGGCAGATCAGTAATCTAGTGCTTTTGTTTTGCCATGGAAGAAACTGAGGTGTGAAGCACCGAGTCACAGGGTCACCAGGAATAGGGCATAGAAACAGGTCACCCAGGAGGGTTCTGGGTTCCCTCCAGCACAGTCTTTCTGCTTTGTGTCCCTTCTGGAATTGTTGCTGACAGTGCAGCAGAGGAAAAGGTTACTTGCAAAGAGAAATGCATCTAGTAAAAATACCATCTTTGGAGCTGGCACAGCTAAAGAAATCATCTTAACCTGGCAAGGAGAGAGAAAAAAAGAGAGCAGAGATTGCCTCAACTCTGCTCACCATTAGCAAATCATCTATAATTTAGAACAAACGTAAAGAGATGTGGGTGATCAAGCAGACGTACCTCCTGGCAGCCTCCTGTAATTTCATGGGCTGTTTGGTGCTGAGGTAAATCAAGCAGGCATCAGCCACTTTATTCAGGTCACCCTCACCTACAGAGAGGAAAAACAAAACAAGCATTGGCCCTCAGACTCATCTGGGACAAGCAGTAACCAATTATTGTCAGGGGGGAACTGGAACAGCCTGGTGAGCTGTTTCTTGAACATTCTCTACTCCATCCCACAAGCCAGGAACACATCAAGGTAAACAGACAAATGGGGCTAGAGCTGACTGAAGGAGGTGCACATGAAGGCAGGTGAGAGATACAAGTGCCACTAGGCATAGAGTGCAATGGCAGGATAAGACACACACAAGGTCTATGTCCCAGTGAGCTGAGGTGGTACCTACCTAAATCAAGGCTCTCACAGAGGGGGCCCAGACCCTGCAAGACGGCCAGCTGCAACTTGAAGGCCAGCGTGTGTGAGTAAACTGGTCCGGCCCTGGCGCTGATAGGGGCCTGGGTGGCTAAGGAGCCAGCCAGTTTTGGCAGGACATCTTTGCAGAACCGGCTCCGTAGAAAATCACCACACTTGCCTCCCAGCATCTGCAAAACCTACAGAAACAGTCCCCAACCTGGTGACTGCACATTGCAGTCACAAAGGCAAGAAAGGGCTGAAGAATGCTTGGTAATTCAATTCTGTCTAGGTTGCTACTTGGAAAAAAAATAGAATTACTGTTGTTAATTCCTTGCCCATACATAGTTTGTGATTCTGACAGTTATGAATTCAGAGGTCTCTGCTCCCAAGTCATGGCTGCTTCTCTCCATAAATACAGATTACACGGAGAATAATTCAGAGGAATCGGGTTGGATGAATAATATGATTAATACCTTGATTTTCCTCCCTTTTTTTGATTAAAAAAAAAAAAAGCTTAAAGTGGTTCATATAGATCATCTCCAGAATTTTCCTGAGGAGAGACTTGGGCTTTTACCTCTAGCTAGCTGAGCAAACATAAACTCTGAGGCTCAGCTGCTGCCCATGCAATCATCAGGAGAGTGGTGAATGGGCTGTGGTCCCTGGCTGAGCCAAGGCTAGTCCCTGTGGCTGGAGCCAACTCTGTGCTCCTTCTGTTCAACTGCACAATCTCATGTACATCACCCTCATTCTGTCTTTCACAACATGCGAATTCTTTGCATGTCTCATTTTAAACTTTCTCTAGCAGAACATATTGAAACGTTTGGCCCGGCTGCACAAGACTGAATATACAGGAGAACAGGAATTTCTTTAACAATTGGTAAGCAAGGCATAACCAGCACACAGAGCATCTGCACACTCTGCAGTCATTCCAGGTCCCTCAGCTGGACTGCATGAGGCTTTGCAGACCTCAGGCATGTGGAAAAAGGAGCCATGTGTCCGCATGTGGAAAAAGGAACCTTGATTTTGGCACACACATCTTTATACTTTTGCATCTTTCTACATTTGTTGTCATTTCAGATAACCTATTAATTTTCATAAAGGAAAGAAGCACTTCTGAATATGATTTAGTAATACCTCCTTCCCTCTTGCCTCTTCCAGCCTTGCTCCTTCCCTGTCTCATATATGTACATGTACACACACACACTCACCATTTTATGATTTTGGTTTGGAAAAAAATACTAACAATTTTACGTGTTTAAATGCAAGCTGGTATTTTAGTCTAGTATATGCTGAAGAATCTTACAGAAAACCAAACCACTTTGCCAACTATATTAATCGCATTCTCAGCTTCACTTCACGTCTTGACACATCTCTTTTCTTTGTCTCATCTTGCTCATCTATTTCTAATTTATGTTAGCTTGCCAGGGTAAATGAATTTTTGTAGGATGCTGTTAAGTGCTTTTTAGAACAAGGAAGGACATAAATAAATAAATGAAAATACATGTGCTAATATCAGCCAAACAAAGTCAGGAGAATAACACCTTTCATCTATACAGGGCTTTTAGCTTCTCAGAGCACTTTGCCAGGGTCTCATTTCACCTTGTAACACTATGAGGAAGGTGGTATAGGTGTTCCTAAGCCCCACCAGAACACAGAGAAAACAGGCACTCATGGGCTCTGCCCAAAGTCATTTGGGTGTGCAGAGGATGCCCTGCTAGGATCCAGGTCCCCAACTCTGTGCACTGCAGTAAACATGAACATGAGCCCCATGGGATTTGTCATTTACCAGGTGAACAATCTTGTGACACTTTTTTAACCTCTCTGAGCTTGTTTTGCTCTCTGCCCAAAATGGAGAGAATATGCCTACCTTACACAGTTGTTACGAGATGAGCTCCTGCGAGGGAAAGTGCCAAGCTCACTGGTTGGTACATGGGAGACACTCAATAAATACTGGTAGCCCTTTGCTTTACCAGTTCATTCTGCTTCAATTTAAAAGGAAAGTGATTGTCATTTTGTTCTCTTTGTGTTTCTCATTTTTTCAATACTTTCTTCAAGGTCTGTGACATTGCAACCAGATAAAAGAGAGGCAATGCAAAAGACCCTGGTGAGCTCTGTGCTTAGGACCTCTGTCCCATGACAGAGAGCAGGGGTGTCAGTGCTGTACCTTGAAGGCTCTGAGCACTGCCAGGGGGTCATCATTTGTGAGTCGGTGCACGAGTGAGGGCCAGGCCTGATGAGCCAAGGGAAGAAGCTGGTTCTTGTGGGACTGTAGAACCACCACACACAAGCCCAGCACATCTAAGACCTGAAAGAAAAAAACTGAGTTTCAGCAGATGGCACAGATTTGAAATCAGACACCTGGGATCAAGTCATGATTTTAAATGAGTAAGACTGAGAAATGCATTAATTGAGCGAGTATTTAGTGAGTGCTGACTACAGGCCAAGTTAGGGACAAGGACACAGGACACAATACACAGATTCCTTGCCATCATAGGGATTATGGTCAGCCAGAAAAAGAACTTAGTTAAATAACATCCAATAAAGAGATGATTATCGATTGTATCAAGAAGAAAGGAAAGGGTGAAAAGCAAAGAAACTAAGGGAAAGAGTTAAAGCATACAGTCTGTTGGGGAGGAGTCTCTGGGAAACAGCTTCTAAAACAAGACATAAACAATGAGCAGCCATTAGTCCTGAGAGTGAGAGTGTTCCTGTAGCTGGACCATCACAAGGAAGACCTGAGGCTGGGGAGGAGCTCAGTGGTAGAACACTTGCCTAGCATATGCAAGGTCCTGGGATCCATACCCAACACTGCAAAAAACACACAAAACATAAACAAAAATAAAACCCAAAAAACCCAAACCAACAAGGAAAACCTGGAGCTTGCTCTTATGAAACAAGAGAGGGCATTAAAGAGCATGACAGAGGAGGGGTGAGACAGGACCAAAGCATCTTTTATTTTGTACTAAATGCAGTGGGGTGTCATCCAAGTCTTTTGAGCAGGTAAGTAACATGACATGATTCATGTTTTCAGAAAGGTCATTCTGGCTGCTGAGTGGAGAAGGATCTTAAAGAGGGAGAGAGAAGTTAAGAGGCCATAGCACATGTCCACATGAGAGGAACAAAGAGCTATGACCACGTGATGGTGGCAGAGGCAGAGCAATGAAAGGATTTGAGATCTAGGACTGGACGTTGGGAGGAGAGTTATCATTTGCAGCTGCTTGGGCTGAGTGTAGGAACTGAGGGAGAGAGGTGTCACTAAGCAAGATGGGAGCAGTGGGGAAGCAAACTGACAGGCTGGTGGACTCAAGTCTTGTTCCAGCCACCTGAAGAGCCAAGCAGGCAACTGGGGGTCAGGCCGATCTCATAAGAGAGGTTTGGGCTAACCTAAGATGTAAAGTGATTGTTTTTGCCCTCCTCTTACATCTCAACCCACTGAACACAGACAGCCAACATCAATGTCACAGGCAGTGGTCAGTGTGACAGCTGATGCAGGCTTCACAAGGATGAGCCAGCCTTCAACAGCACATGTGAGATGCACATTTGAGTCAGAAAGGCAGAGTAAAGTCTGCCAATATGAAGCCTTATTGGGAGCCTCATACATACTGGTCCATACTAAGTCTGGAACAGAAACATAGAAGAGGCCCTGCCACAGAGGCGGTTATAGCAGAGAGCAGAGCAGCACAGTGGCAAGGGCTTTGGTATCACTGACTGCCTTTGAATTTGAGTTGTTACTACTTGGACAAATTACATTATATTTTATTGATTCAAATTTGCACATTTTTTCCCTCTGCCTGGAATGTTCTACCTGCCTTTGCCCCTTTGCATGGCTGGCTCCTCAACCTTTAGAAATGCTACTGCATAGCCTGGAGTGGTAGTGCATGCCTATGATCTCAGATACTCAGGAAGAGGAGGCAAGAGGATCATGAATTTTAGGCTAGCCCAGGCAAAAGTGACATCAAAAACAAAAGTGCACCAGGTGCTGGTGACTCATGCCTATAATCCTAACAACATGGGACAGGTTGTGGTTCAAGGCCAGCCTGGGCGAAAAGTTCAGGAGACCCTGTCTCAACCAGTTGTTTGGCACAGTGGTGTCACCTATCATCCTAAGCTGCATAGGGAGCTGAGATTGGGAGGATCACAGTTCTAAGTCAGTCAGGGCAAAAAGAGTTCATGAGACCCCCCCTCAACAGAAAAAGACTAGGTGTAGAGGTACATGCCTGTCATCTCAGCTAAGGTGAGACATGTAAATAGGAGGATTGAAGTCTAGGCTGGCCTGGGCAAAATGTAAGACCCGATCTCCAAAATAACCAGAACAAAAAAGGCTGGAGGTATGGCTCAAGCAGTAGAGCACTGAAAAAAAAAGCTACTTCCTTAGAGACAATAGCTAATCTGAATCAGAATGTAAACTCTGCTTCATTCAATGGGGCTTGGTTCAGAGGAGGTTTCCAAAATTTACTTACTGTTCTCTATCATAGAACCTACTTACTATCTTGAGAATATTTCCTTGACTTGGATGTGTGTTTGTGTCTTGTCTCTCCCCACAACAGACAGGATTTTCCAGGAAGACAGGGATCATGCCTGGATCATGACCTTCCATAATTCTGCATTACCTGCAGAACTGCTTGATGAGCACTGAGTGAATGAATGAGTATGAATGCCATATCTGAGGCAAATGGTTTTATCTTTATAACCAACAACCCTCTAAGGAAGCATCCTCATCTCCATTCACACATGAAGGTATTAAAGCTCAAAACTGAGCTGACTCAAGGTCACCTGGCAAGAAGGGCAGAGTCAAGGTTTGAACACAAGTAAGTGGGTGTGACTTCAACTCTAGCTCTTACCAACTGCAGTGTCTACGGAGCTGCTACAAAGCCCCTATAAAAGGGAAAGCTTTGAAGGATACTCTGGAGTTTGCCAAATGTTATCAACCACATCACCTACATGGAAGCCTTGTCTGTAACAAGAACTCAAAAAGTGCTTGTTGAATAGAACATATGTCTCAGGAAGGCCAAAAACAAAAACTCCATAAGATTTGAGACAATCTTTGTTTGCCCCCCAACCCTGACCAAGGCAATGTGCTCCTTTTGTGAGTCACTAAGACAGCTGTTTTTTCCCTCCTGCTTGGGGGTGGGAGAAGGAATGTTGTTTTCCTTTGTGTGTAAGATCTTCCCTGGAGTGATTGTGAAAGTCCTGGCCCCCACTACCGCTCCACTCCACTGTCCTGTTACTGTGTCACTCCTGTTATGTTTTAATTCCTGCTGATGGTGGTGCTTGCTTGGGAAACTGCCAGCAAACAAGGATGTAATATGATGAAAAGGTAAGAGTTTTTCCTAGGATGAAAATAGAAACAGAAACAGAGATAAGGGTCAGGCTTGGAAGAATGACTACTTTAAAGTATTAAAACCTGCAACCTGCACTAAGTCAGCTCAGAGAAATGATATCCTTTCAAAGCACGTATTTTTCTCTCCCCTGGGGAGTCAATGAGTTCCCAAAACTCAGTTTTTTTAATGTAAGGGACTCAGTTCCCTTTTGGTATCTGAGCTGACACAGAAAGGTATGGAAGTGTCAGCCCACAGATAGTTCTTCTTGATGCTGTCTCTTGGCCACCACAAATGGACTGGGAGATAAGAGAAGCTGTTTGCTTACCCATGTGGCTACCGCCAACCAGAGCACACCTCAGTCCTGCTGCTCTGCAGTGCACAGAAGGGGACGCACACTGACCTTCAGGCGGATTGTCAGATTTTTATCTGACAACAAGTGGACGCAGCGTTCCATCACATCCTTGGCTATTTGGATCTGCACTGGCATTGGTGGCTCCACATCTGGACCGGCGTCATTCTCGTCCATTTTGAGAGGGACTGACAGCTCTTCTGGAAGAAGAGAATAATTGGTGACAATGGGTTATGAGTGGTGCCCCAATCCAGTTCGATCCCCAGTTTCAGACTCAGGGATAGGACTAAAAGGTACAGATCATAAGGAAACCATCTGAAATTTGGGTTAAGCCGTACATGTCGAGATGTTCACATCAGCATTAAGTGTACCAGCCTGAACTAGGAAAGGCCCTCTTCTATGGTTTAAATGTGTCCCTTCTAAAGTTCAGATGTCAAAACTTCGGGCTAATGTGATACTAACAGGTGGGGAAAATAAGAGGTGATCAGGCCATGAGGGCTCCTCCCTTTGCACATGCCATTAGGTCCCTATTAAAGAGGCTTCATGTAGCTGGCTTACCCGGCTGCCTTCTGCTATTGAGGGCACAGTGTTCCTCACCTAGGAAGGACACAGCAACAAGGTGTCATCTTGGAAGCAGAGAGCAGCCCTTATCAGACAACTGAATGTTAGCACCTTGACTAGCCTCAGAACTGTAAGAAAATAAATTTCTGTTCTTTATAAATTCCCCAGTCTCAAAAGTTTATTCTGGCAGAATGAATGGACTAGGCTATCCTCTATGTCCACCTGGGGGGATGATTGTATAAACCACGGTACATCCATACACTTGTATGTTACAAGGTCCCTAAAATTTATGTGTAGCAAATCTTTTTTCCCACTCCTGAACTGGTAGTTGGATGCAGGGCCTTGTACAACTTGGTGTAACACGTAACGCATGGGTTTGATCAAGGACATTGGTTCAAGTCTTGCCTCCTCCTCCCATTCCTATATTAGCTCACCTGGCTAAAAGAGATAAAACATACACACCCTACCTGCTTGTAGAGAGGGCCAAATGAGATGAATGTCAACAGCTATTACCATTCTCTCACTTCCTAGTGTTGCATGTGACAGGTATAAGATTGTAACTTAAAGCAACACCTGAAAACCAGGCCAAAATCCCTATGCTGAAAAAATTTCCTCTACTTACAACCCCCATCCCTGTCCCTGAACTCCTATTGCCAGCTGTGCTCATTTTCACAGAGCTGAGCATTCCTCCTTTAACTTTTTCCCATTTCAGTTTCCTCTGCTGGAAAAACAGAATCTTATAATAGGGGCTGCACCTGTCTCTAACAGATGCTGAAGAGATAAATGAAAACACATTGGTAGAATGCTTAGATTTCCTAGAGAAAGGGATCTCAGACAGATAAGATGCTTTTATGCAACTAAAACAAAACACTCACGTCAAAGCCAACCTGTTTTTTTTTTTTTCTTTTGGTGGTGGTGGTGGGGTGCTGGGTATCGAACTCAGGTCCTTGTACATGCTACCACTGAGTAGGCCCCAAGCCCCAAACATTCTTTATACAACCAAGAAAATGGAATGCACTTGATGAATGATAATTGTAAGAATGATAGGGCTATGTTCCCCCACCCCAGAGGAAGATTTGTTGTTTGAAATTCACCTACTACAAACTATTATTTGAGGGATGTGTATTTTTTTTGGTTTTAGAAGGTTTGATTCATTCATTCTGCTCCCAGCAAACATCAAACAGAACCAGAAGATCCTAATCTGGGAAGAACAGATTCACTGACAGTGCATGAATTTTAAACATGAATGGCAAACCCGACTATGAAGGATCAAGATGCATCCCTTCTTCAGAGTACCTGGGCTTCGGTGAGGAATGGAGTTTCTGAAAAGGACTGGATTGCCTCAAGGAACAAACCTGAGAAGAAAAAGCCTGATAGATTTCTAATCAGAAAACTGTCTGTGGTGACAGCAATGACACAATTCCACGTAAATCATTATTTGGGCCCTGTGATGTTTCCCTACTATCTGGAAGGAATTTGTTATACTTAGTGCAAAAAACCTACTCCTTCTTGCTATCTTAGAAGTACTGGCTTCAGTTCACCAGAATCTCAGAGCATGGATAGAAAAAAAGGAATGAAAAAAAAAAATCTGCTCAATTCCAACCTAACAAACTAATCTGGGACTCAGTTCGATTTAGAATAGTTCTGAGACCACCAAGCTCATTATGACTTGGCATTTTATATTTGCAGAGGACAGTCTAATAATTTATTAATCCTTCCGTGACCTGAAGCTCCAGATTGAATTTGTGAATAAAACAAGAGGCCAGAGCTGCTACTAGCCTGATCTCTTTTTCTTTTATCATAAATAGGTAAGAAAAACACTGGAATCTTTTCCTACCAATAAACAAATAGACAAAGCATATGAATAGGCAATGGATATAAGAAAATGATGTTAGGAAAGAGCCATATGGAAATATGTTTAACCTTGCCAATAACCAAAGAAATGCAAAGTAAAATAACAAGCATCATTTTTAAAAAACAATTAATTTAGGAAAAAGTAAAATTGGTAATAGCTGATGTTGGCAATGTTGTAGTAAAACCAGTATTAATCCTGCACTGCTGAAGAGAAGGTATAGATTGGTACCTTTTTAGAAGGCAGGTGGGGCAAGCATTAAATAATGTTCATATTCTTGACCCAGAAATCCCAGATTTGGCCATTTATAAAGAAATATGTAAGAAGGAAGAAAAGATCCCACGCAGATTCATCCGATGTAGCACTGTGTTACAGGGAAAGCTATAAGCAACCTAAACTCCCCCCAGGGGAACGGGTACTTAGTAGCAGCTTATTACAACATTAATTATGAAAAATCTATAGCAACTTGGAGCATTGCTTATACCTAAACACAAAAGGGTATGATGCAATTGAACTATGGCTGCAGGAGGCAGAGGGTACAGAGCCCAGTGGTAGCAGGTCGTGGGTACGAACCTCATTTGTATAATACAAAACTATGTTTGCAATCATATAAAAATAGGCTTGTAACAAAAAATGGAAAAAAACACACAAAAATCAAGACTGGCTATGTTAGCACGGTGAGGTTAAGAATAACTTTTCTTCCAAACTTTCTGGAATGAGTTTTGTTATTTTTTTCTTTTACGATAATGTTTTGAAAAGAACCTACCAAGCCAAAATAAGTAAGTTACCTTCTTCATTGTCGAAATCCAAGATGCTACCTTCAGCGATGTCCTTCTCCCTGAGGTAGCTCTGCACGAACCGTTCAATGTCTTCAGCCGAAGTACTAGTCTCAAGAAGTGCTGATGTGTGGTGCGAATGAATTCCCTCTTTCTCTAAACCTTGCTCTTGGAGTTGCCCAATGTCTGGGAACCACTGGGCTATAGATAAAGTGTTACAATCATCACCTTGGTCGTTAGGAACAGGTATTAGTATTTAATAAGTAGAAAAGCTCTTTGACATGGCCTGCGTCCCCACCCCCACTCCCCGCCCCTGTACCATCTAGTCCCTCCCTGCCTCTGCAACCTCATCTTCTACCACTCCAGTTGCCTGATAACTTACCATCTTCCAGTTCCCCCAAGGTGGCAAGCCTTTTTCTGCCTTGGAATTTTGTCGTCTGGAATACTTTCTCCCTGTTTTCCATCTGGTTAATTCCAAATCACTTTTCATGCCTCAGTACAATTAGAATTTGCCCAGTAAAGCTGTTCCTGCCTCCTCAATTTAACGAAGGTCACCCATACAATGTCTTACATAGTACAATGCTTTTTCCCTTCATATCAACTCATCAGTTTGTACTATGTATTTGTTTTGGGTGTACTGTTTTGGTATTTGAATCTCCCCCATAAGACTCTGTACTCTAATATGCTCAGCACAGGGTAGGTGCTCAAGGTACATGCTGAATGAAAAAATATATGAGATTGGAGAACATGTACACGTGATAAAATTCTGAGACAGATTATAGTTCTTATTAGCAGAAGATGGGCTCTACAGAACATTGAGAATGGACAGTCATGCTATATTCTATCATAAAATGCTTCAGAAGACTGGCCATTTTCTCTCCAAAGCTTTCCATTGGCGATGCTCCAATACCTCTGATGTGTCACCACGGAATAAACCTTAAACCACTCCAGTGGTTTTCAAATTGCACCTTGAGGGACCTTAGGGCTCTCAGAGATGCCCAGGGATCACGACAGGGAGGACAGCAAGAGGCAGCAGGCTCAGTAGGGGTGGGTCCCAAGGGTCTCTATTCCTTCTTCAACTAGAGCAGCATTAAGTTCAGCTGCTTTTGCATATTGTGGTCTCCCCTAAAGACTTCATTTCAAAAAAGGGTCTTAATAGTTAAAGAATAAAATAATAACCAAATCCTAATATTGCAGGATTGGCCCAGTGCCCTCCTTTTGCAGACAGCAGGGAAAAAGACTGATCACCCTTAGCACCTGCTAATCTCCTTTCATCAAGGAGCATCTGCACAGAGCCAGAGTAACAGCAGATGGGCAATGACGGGCCAGGTGCCTGGGAGGGGCAGGGAGCAAGTGTGTGAGATGACAGCCTTCCATCCAGTAACTGGAGGTTCCTACGCAGAGGGGTTAATCATGCCTGTGCTTCAGTGCCTCACTCCTGGGTGGAAGTAAGGGCCTTAGTGCAGTCTAAGGGATTGGTTCTCAAATAGTTAAAAGCCCAGACCTGGCATTTACACTACTAGGACTAGACATACTGCAAAGATTATTTCTAGATTCAAGGCTAGTGTCAGGTATTAACAAATGGCTCACAAATGGCTTTTAAATGTATGAAAAGAAGCTCTACCTCATTCTTAATGCAAATTAAAGCTATATAATACGGGGATTTTTTTTCCTATTGGATTAGCAAAGATCAAAAGCTTGGTAATATACAGTGTGGCTGAGGGCATGGCAAAATTGGTACTCTTTTACATTGTTTAAATTGCTACAACCTCATAGGAGAGCAATTTGATACTCTTAATCCAAAATTTAAATGTAATACCCTTTAAGTCAGCATTTCTTTCAGGAATTTATCCTACTGATATGTTGAGGCATGTTCAAAATGATCTTCAAAGATACCCAGCACAGCATTTTTGGTTGGGTTTTTTTTTTTTTTTCCAGTGACAAAAGATTAGAAACAACCAAAACATCTACCAAGAAAGGGCTGGTTAAAAACTCATGGTGTAGTCACACAATAGGATATAATGCAGCTATAAAAAGAATGCAGCAGCCCTCTATGTAAGACATGGCACAAGCCAGGGGCTGGTGGCTCATGCCTGTAATCTTAACTACTTGGGAGGCTGAGATCAGGATTGTAACTCAAGGCTGGCTGGGACAAATAGTTTGTGAGAACCCCATCTCCAAAATAACTGGAGCAAAATGGACTGGAGGTGTGGCTCAAGCAGAAGAGCACCTGGTTTGTGAGCATAAAGCTCTGAGTTCAAACTCCAGTCCGACTATATCTATCTATCTATCTATCTATCTATCTATCTATCTATCTAGAGTGAGTGAGTGTGCAATAGCCAAATTCCGGAGTAAGTGACATGAATACTTTATTTTCAAAGCTATCCTGCTTTTCCTTGTTATGAATAATCAGCAGCTGGTGCTAAGCAGTAACTTACCTGAACAGTTCTTGCCCCCACCATAGCACCTACTGCTTTTTAGTTAATACATGTGAAACACTGTGTACAGCAAGTTAATTCCCTGAAACATGGACTGGGTTCTTTCAAGACCTTTCAGAAGTTCTGACTGCAAATTTACACTCTCATCTTAAAAGAGAGACCATCAGTCAGACAATCTGATGACAAACAGAAATGCTAACGTAAAGTGCTGCTCTGATCCATGAGCGATTGTACCAACCCCCCTACTTACTATTCAAAATGCAAGTGTATTCTGGGTTATTTCAAAATTTGCAAAAAAGCTACCTCCAGTTTTGTTTTTTCCCCCCGAGGATGTTCTAGAGTCAATCTAACCATCCTCATTTTCCTTTCTGCAATGGAGACCCTCCTCCACTACCTCAATTTAAAAAAAAAATAAAAGGTATTACACAGGATTTCTTTCTTCCTTCAGAGATGACCAAAGACTTCAGCAATATAAGGAAATTCAATTTTCAAGACCCAAATTGAGCTATATCTCCTGAGAGGATATATTTCCTAGGCTTTTTCGTAACATATTTGTTTAAATCTCGAATTGAAATGTAGCATAGTCCCTCAAAACAGTAGAGGGTATGTATGTGGTGTATTTGGCCACTGGAAGCCAGGCCCAGTATGCGATGTTTAAGCAGTCTTAGGATGGGCTCCATGAAGGCAGGCCCCGGAGGTCCTTGTTCATAGCTGCCTCCCCAGTAACTGTTAACGGTTACACAGGTGTTATGGTTTGGATCTGAAATGTCCCCTAAAGGCCATGTGTTAAAGGCTTGGTCCCCAGTTGGTGGCGCTATCGGGAGGTGGTGGAAACTTTAGGAGTGGGGCTTAGTTGGAGTAAGTAGATTGCTAGCATGCCCTGGAACTGTGTATCTTGTCCCTGGCTCCTTTTCTCTCTGCTTCCTTGCTGACATGAAGTGAGCAGTCTCCTCCACCATACCCTTCCACCATGATGCCTTCTGTCTTACCATAGGCCTAAAATCAAAGGAGCAAGTTGACCATGGACTGAACTTTTGAAACTGTAAGCCAAAATCAACCTTTCTTCCTTTAGGCGTTTTTTTGGTCAGGTATTTTGTCAAAGCAATAGAAAGCTAACACAACAAGCTTGTGAGTGATTGCAAAGTCAAGACTATACTCCTTCCCTTGGCCCATAACACCCTGCAGAATTTGCCCTCCTTTCCAATTCCATCTTTCACTGTGCTCTCCACAATGACATCTTTTACATTCTCCAAACACCCCAAAACTCTTTCTTCATGCAAGGGCTTTGCACTTGCTGTTCCCTCTGCCTGACTGTTCTTACAGATCAAAAAGACAGTGTGACAGGTGTGTTCTGATGGGCCCTTCTCATGCTTCAGGTCTCAGTTTTAGAATGTTTCTTTACAGCTGCCCTCCCTGGCCACCCAACTTAAAGTAGCCTGTCCCTGTGACTCCCTTGCATCAAGGTATCAATTTCCTTCAAAGTGCTTATCAGAGTCTGCAGCAAACTTGTTTAATGGTTTACTTGTTTATCATCTTTTGCAGTAGCAGGAAAGCATCATGAGTTTATTTATCTTGTTCACTGCTGTATCTTCATTATTTAGCACAGTGTGGCAGGTGTTCTTTATTGAATGAATATGAAAACATTCACGCTGTATGTAAATGTTCATGAGTGAACGAATAAATGAACATTGAAATAGTGTCAGCTACAAGGCAGAGCATAGTCCCTACTCCAGTCACCTTTCCCCAGAAAGTTTCTTATCTTTTTTTTTTTTGGCAGCATTGGAGTTTGAACTCAGGGCCACACACTTGCTAGTTGCGCTTTGAGCCACTCCGCCAGTCCATAAAGTTTCTTATTTAATCTTGACTCTTTTTTTTTTTTTTTGGTGGGACTGGGGTTTGAACTCAGGGCTTCATGCTTACAAAGCAGGCACTCTACTGCTTGAATCATGCCTCCAGTCTAGTTTGCTCTGGTTATTTTGGAGATGGGGTCTCACAAACTATCAATCAAGCTTTGAAACTTGATCCTCCTGATCTCAGCCTCCCAAGTACCTAGGATTACAGAAGTGAGCCACCAACACACCACTGGTCTTGGCTGACAAAAATGAGGTCAACAACTCTCCTACCTGCCTCAGAGGCTACAAGCAGTACTGAAATAAATACTAGATATATGCTCTTCAATAAAAGGCACTCAGGTACATATGGCTCATTGTTTTTTCATTTAAAGACTGCCTAGGGAGTCTTTCTTTTCCCTCCCCATCTCCCTCTTTTCCTTTCTCCTTTCACCCTTTCTTCCCCCTCTCTTCCTTCCCTTCAGTTTTTTTTTTTTTTTTTGAGAATCTTGGTATGTAGCCTGGGCTGGCTTCAAACTCTCAATCCTCCTGCCTCAGTGCCTCCATGCCTGGCTTATAGTCCCAAATTTTGCCATTCTCATGGTGGCTAACATCTCGAGCAGGCACCCGAAAGGACCAAAGAGAAGAAGAGAAACTCAAACCAACTCATACATTTAAAAGGTTAAAAGGAAGTTTCTAGAACTGCTCTGTCCCATATGGTCCATGTGACTATTAAAATTAAATAGAATTAAAAACTCAATACCCTAGTTGTACTAAAAGTTCTATTGGAGGGGCTGGGGATATAGCTCACTGGCAGAAAGCCTCCCACCTGCCTGTTCAGGGTCCTGAGTTCAATCCCCAGCACCACAGTCACCAAGACCAAAAAGAACGTTCTATAGCACAGTTCTGTTATAGCCATCTGTGAAGTGAATTTTTCATGTTATTCCTGTTCTCCATTCATGTAGATACTTCTAAGTATCATCAGAAGTTGCTTAGTACACTGGAAAGAATAAAACTGCCATAAACTCTATCCCTTATTAATTATGTGACCCTGGCTAAGCAGGATCTCATGGAGCTTTAGTTTATCTTATTTGTAAAGTAAGTGTTCATATTTAGTCTACAGGGTTTATATCCCGGGAACAGAGCAGGAGCTCAATAAATGGCCGAGATTATTGAAAATATAAAAGATAAACAGTCCCCCTGAGGGTCTGGAGGGGCAACCTTTTGAATGTCCTTCATAGCATAAGTACAAACACCAAAGAAAATAAGACTAGGCAAACTAGGATATTGAGTCCTGTCCACCAAATCAGCATTAAAAAGGGCTTTCAATGTACCTAATGCTGCCAACAAGGCATGCAGAACACTGACAAAGGAAGCAGCTCTCTTATCATAAAATTGGTCCAGGGTAGCCAAAACATCTTGAATCACATCTGCCACCAAAGGAAGTAGGCTGGCATCTGAATTTCGCAGCATGACTTCTAAGACCTTGGGGGTATGAGGGTGCAGAGCTAGATGACGCAGATTTAAAGAGATGCCATTCACCAAATAGTCTGAATTTTGATTGATGAGTTGCTGCAGGGAGTCATACCCACAAGCATGGCAAAAGTCTACCATGGTGCTGGTAGCCACCTGACTAATGAGCAGGGTTTGGTCTCCAGCTTTCTCCAATACTGGATAGAGGGCTGACATCAAGAGCAAACGAAAGTCTTTTCCTAGTGCATATGCAAACTGGCCGATCCCTTCCAACTGGATGCATATTTGCCAGATGTTGCTGTTCATTGAGCAAATAGTGGGACTTGGCTTTGAGAAGGCTGGAAAAGACATAACTTGGCAGGTATGTGTAGCAGAGGTGATGGCCTGGAGGCCTGACTGCTTCATCATTAGTTCTTCTCCCTCCTCAGCTTCAATACAGGTAACCAAATACCAGTTTTCCTGGCTTGTGTATTCTTCCAGTATAGATGCCACAACCTCTCTCAGTTCCTCTGGGCTTCTTTCAGTATATTTCTCATGAAGATCTTCCACCTCCAACCCAGCAGCCCCTGTAATCAGTTCATTAAGGATCATGGCAGCCTGCTTCCGGTAAACCATGGATTCATGGTACAGTCCCATAAAGTGATCCACAAGCAAATAAAGGTTCCCATAATAACCAAGGAGCTGGCAAACCTGCCTCAAGAGCAGGAAAACTCTCTCATCGGTGAAGAAGCGGAAGTATCTCCTCTGGACTTGGTTCCACGGCCGTGTAGCTGAAGCCTTTGGAGAAGCACTCAGCTCATCAGAGTTCCAGCGCCGCTCTTCCACGATTTTCACATCAGCCACATCTAATTCTAGAACTTGGATGAGTGCTCTGGAAAGGCGTTGGAGATGGGCCACAGAGTTGAGAACAAAGTTTACTTTTGGGCCCAAGAGTTTCAGATACCCGACTAACAAGGACAGAGTAGAAAATCTGCCCTGATCATCTTGGGAGTTCATGAGGCGGGGAAGAGATGTGGTAAGGGAATGCAGGCTCTCTGATAAGATGTCAGCAAAGGCTCTGTTGCCCACAACTACTTTCTGATTTGCAAAGTGTCTTAGGACCTTATTGCATTGGGCCTTCACTTCAGGGCTCTCATCATTTGCTAGGCCTACCAAAGCCTTCAGTAGGGGACCAGCAGATTCAACCAGGGACTGACTGCACTTCAAAAGAAGGGTCTCCACAAGTTCTACTAGTTCCAGTCTCACCTTCCAATGTGGGTGAACTGAAACACACTCTATTATCTTTCTAATAAGGATCGCCAACTTATCGCTGGTATTTTTTACCCAATCTGCTTCCCTGTGAACCATTAGCTCTGCAACTCTATGCTTAACCTCAGGCTTTGCTTGGACCTTTGAGATTCTCCTGAGCTGTTCATCAGCCATAATGAAGCTCACTGTCTTGTAAAAGATCTTTAGGGAAGATATGACAACATTGTGACCTTGTTTAAAATCTCCTGTGATAACCCTTGTCAGTGCAGTTGAGATTCCAGGTAAAAAAGAAGCAAACAAATCCCCCAGCTGCTGTTGTTCAGGCTCATCTAAGGACCTTGGATGGTCTTGACAATCACATTGAAAGAGTAGAACCTGTAAACACTGTAGGGCAGCAAGTTTAATTTGCTTTGATTTTTCCTGTTCTGCCAAGCCTAACAGTAAAGATACCGCAAATCCTAAACGAGGCAGAATGGAGGGCTCATAAAAGGTCAGAATGATGTCCCCATAAGCTGAGTGCATTAAGGTGTTAAGTCCCTGGATCACAGCCAATTTTAACTCCTCAGACACAGCTGCAGGTTTTTTGGCGTTGGGCGAATACAGACAGGCAGAGAGTTCTGAGAAGAGTTCCTGAAGAAGCTCTTGCTCCTTCACACATGTTGAAGACAGGATGAACGTGAGACACTCTACCACGCTTTGGATCAAACACTCTCTTTTAGGGCCTGGAGTCTTTAGGGTAAATCGCAAGGGGAAGAGGATATACTGCTGAAGTTCCTGAAGGGCAGAGTCACTCACAGCTTGTAACTGTGTTTGCAGATGTTCCACGTTCTCCACTGTTTGGGTCTTTGTGAGCTGAACACAGACTGGACGTAAGACACCAAAGGCCTCCTCAGGAGTATCAAAAACTGCCATTGTGCAAAAATCCTTTCTCTTACCAAGGAAACATCCTGTAGGATGGAAGCATTTCAATTAAGAGTCAAGCTCAAAGCAAATACAAAATGAACCTGCATTCATTCCTTTGACAGACATTTACAGGGGCCACTGCCCAAGAAGCTAGGGGAGCAAAGAGACTGAAAAGAGATGGCACCTATTCTTTAGGTGTCCCCAGTGTAGTGAGGGAAGTAAATGTGTACTTGAGCTACAATCTCTTTCGAATTGGGATAGGCGTAAACTTAGGGTTCTAAGCGAGTGTGGAAGAGTAGTATCACTGGGAAAGCCAGGGGGGATTCACAAGAAGGTGTCTGAACCATGATGACTTGGGGGAGGAATGAAAAAGAATCTGTGGGGCTATTCTAAGGAGTTTGGGTTTTATCTTTTTTTAAGGTTGAGGTATACATAGAGTAAGACACACTGTCTTAATGTACAGTTCAGCAAGTTTTTACCTATGTAACAGATGCATGTAAGTACGACCCAAAGTAAGACAGATAATATAGCACCTGAGAAGGCTCACTCATGCCCTTGTGCAATCAATTCTTATTCCCTCCACAGTTCTGACTTATGTCACTTGAGATTCCTGTGGCCTGTTCTTGTCATAGAGAGGCTTTAAGTGGAGAGGGGAGTTGATATGATCAATTTTATGCACTGATAAGATCCCCTGGCAGCCAGTAATATGGAACAAGGACCGGAGCTGGGTGAGACTGAAAGCAACACAAAATGGAAGGGACCACTAAGAGATGAGAAAGCCAGGAGTGTATGCTGTCACAGAAATCATGGGAGAAGAGGTTCCAGCAGGATGGAAAGATGGATGACAGGCAGGCAGGTACAGAAAATGGGTTTAGAGGTAAGTGAAGAAGCTGAGCAACTTAATACCTCAGAGTCTTTTCTCTGTAAGAAGAAATTCAAAGGCATGGGCTGACAGTGAACAAGAAGGGGGATAAACACAGGACTTGAAGAGAGAAATAAAAGTCTCAAATATTTCCTTTGGGGAAACAGAGCATACTGGAAAGACATAAAAGTGTGGCCCAAGTGTACTGAGGAATGAGCTGAAGCTGGAGACCATAAATGTGTACAACCGTAAAATGCTGGCATTAGATGGAGGCTCAGAGAACATGTAGTCTGGTGGTCTCATGCTTCTTTTCTTCTCTCTTTACTGGGGGCTTCTGAAAAGATAAGTCTTTGCTGCTTGTCATCACCCACAATTTGATGTGCACTTGTGAACCCAGCAGCTCTGAGCTGCTCACAACAGAGCTGGTCTGGATTATCCCTTTGGGTCAAGAGACAGCTTCAGGGCACAATCAAGACTCTGACACTGTGGAAAGAGTCTTACTCACTGAGATCCACACACCCCGTGAGGAAAGGAACTCCTGGTCTCTGGGAGGTTTCTTGGCCAGAAATCCCCTGGTCTCTGTGGCCCCAAGAAGTCAGGGAGGGGAAGAAGCTCTAAGTCGCCTTTTCAGGGTAGGAAAATGCTAGGTGTGGATGCCATGAAGCTTGGCCAAAGACTAATGACACCCTGTGGGCACTGGTTCATAATGACAGTCCCGAGGCTGCTGTGCCATCCCCTGCCTGAAATACTGGCCAATGGATTAATGAGTAGGAAAGGAAGCTAACTGCATAGTGAGACCCAGCAGTCAGAGGTAAGAAAAGCATTTCTCAGATTAATAGGACCACTAAAAGAAGAAGGTAAGAATTTGAATAAAAAGACCACTTAAAGAAGCTTAATTACGGGACAAAGGATATTTCTTAGAATTAAAAACATGACTTTCCAAACCAAAAAGTTCAACTAATGAAATAAAGATAATAACGATAACAATGATAATAAAGATGGCTAATTCTGAGACCCAATGAGTGGCCCAGAAGATCAAGTAGAGTTCTGAGCAAGAATAGAGAGAGGAGGATATTGTGAAAGGTAGAATACAGGTCCAAGAGAACCAACACATAAATAACTAGGAATTTGGAATGGGACAAGGGAACAGATGTAGAAGCTAAAGCAAACAAATATTTGAAACATTTCCCTTAGCTGCCAAAAGATTTATTATGTAGATAGTGATATTATTATGTAAATATACACCTAGTCACATTCTGGTAAAAGTCTTCAATTCTAAAGATGAAGAGAAAAATCACACATGATTTTAGGAAGAAACAAGTAACTTATGAAAATGAGACTGGCTTTGAACTCATCTGCAAAAATGAATGCAAGAAGACAGTGGAATAGCACCTACTGAATGCAAATACAGGACTGTGCCTCCTCTATACCCCAATAAGCCCTATATATAGCTAAGATATTTACCAGTCAAGATGAAGAACTAGATGCAAGGATCACCTCCCTATCACCCAAAGGATGATACTTGAGAAAGGACTCTGCTCAAACAAAACAGGGGCATAATGGGATGGGAAGATGAATGAAAAAGGAAAACACTGACAATTCTTTTTCTCTTAGCATAGAAAACCTTCTTCATATACATGTTTAAGTGGAAGTTCAGTAGATGAAACAGACAAAATTAGGGGTGAAGGCAATGGTAGGGACCCAGCATCTTTTATTCAACTTAGTAGTTTTGTGAAGATAACTCCGGGTTCCCCAAGGTGTTGGTTCCCAAGCTATGTCCTCCGATTATGTGACAGAAACTGCCATAGAGCTAATGAAATGGGAACCTATATATCTAAAAACTGAGCTCATCTGCTCTTTTGACAGAATTTCCTTCGTGATTTATAGTCCTCACTCAAGCTAGAAACCTTGGAATCTCTGCTTTTTCTTACCTCCCTCTGAATTCCCCCCATTCCCTACATTTCATTAGTGCTATTCTTCCAACATCTTCAAATCCACTGACAACAACTACAACAGGTTCCTCTGGCCCTTTGCCTTTGTGCCTGCCCCTCTTGAATCCACATTTTGCACTGCACTTACATAACCTTTCTAAAATAAAAATCTGATCACTCTTCTCCATACTTAAAATTCTCCTGCTGAACAGGTAGTGCTATCTCATATTTACCTCCTTTCTCCTACCACTGGGCACAGCTCTATGACAGCATGGAGCATGATGTATTACATGTGTGTGTATGTGTCTTACCTATTTTAGACTGGTTCTCGGAGGGCAGGGGCAATCCTGTACCTAGAAGCATTCAGAAGAACATCTGGTCCCTGGCAAGTGCTCAAGAATATTTGTATAAATTTTGCTTTCAAAGTAGGAAATACAAGGGTGTGGCAGCCCAACATTTCTGCTGATAACTACAAAAGCCACATAATTTTCAAAAATCTTTTTTTTTTTTTTTTTGGCAGTACTGGGGATTGAACTCAGGGTCTGGTGCTTGCTAGGCACCACTTGTGCCACACCACCAGCCCTACATAAATCATTTCTTAAAGTATCCATATTTGTGGAACAACTTGGACTAGATAGACTAATAGTCTAGGAAGAGGAGAAAGTTCAGAGGGCTTCAACAACCAATACCTTTGTATTTTATTTATTCACTAAATAGATACATTAGCTGATCCTGGACACAGGCTCAGGATTAGTGCATGGCTGTCACTGGGGAAGAGAGACCTCAATGATCATTTGGGGCTGGCAAGCCTATACTGCAGTCTTGAGGGACCTCAAAATACAAAACTTCTGGAAGCCTGCTGCTGGGGACAAAGAAACCAGTAGGTACTTTGGTGTTCTTCAAAACTAGAGTGACAAAACAGGAGATATGAGGACCTTCAACACTGGGTTGGTAACTCAAGACATGAAGTGGCAGGCTCAAGAACGAAGGTGAAAACCTTTGCAGGGCAGAAGGGACTCTTCCAGTCCTGCAAGTCCAAGGAGACAAACAGCCTATTAGGCTCTCAACTGAAAGCTCTGGAAGCCCACACTTCCAACAGCAAGGATGAACCTGAATGGGTCTGAGCCTTCCCAGGACTGCAACCCAGCAGTGACCGAGTTCAATTCCGTCTAGACTGAAGCATGCAGCTCCCTTGACTACTAACCTAACACAAGCCTGGTGGGGGAAGAGAGCATTACAAGAAGCCACTAATTTCTTTTATAGAATGTCTTATACACAATAAGAAGTTCTAAACATGTTGGTAGAAAAAACACATCACTGAAAATCAAGAGGGAAGACGGACAAAAGCAGACCCACAGACAACCCAAACACTGGAGTTAGCAGTCAAGGCCTTTAAAATAAATAATACTAATATAGTCAAGAAACAGAGGCAATGATTTTTCTTTTCAAATAACTTCCCTTTCTACTCTAAGAGGTTACTTATTGCTGTCTTCTTTTTAATGGATGATTTGGAGATATTATAGCTAGAAACTGGAACTAGAAAATCCCAAGAATTAAAGGTGTTTTGTTTAACATAAATTAAATTGAACTCATTTAATTAAACTTAAAAGTTGACTGCACAGTTATTGAATCCCAATAGTATAGTTTTTGTTATTTTAGGTAGACTTTTACTTTTAACCATGTTTAATCAAGAACCTTTTGATGGTTGTATAAATCCTGACTCAGTTTTTTTTTTTTTTATAAAGTATTCTCTAGATACAACTATTATTCTTTGTAAGCTTTTATTTAAAATAAATCTGAGCCAGCATAATGGTTCACACTTGTAATCCCAGTACGCAGAAAGCTGAGGCAGGAGGATCATTAGTTTGAGGGCAGCCTGGGCTACAAAGTGAATTAGAGGCTAGCTTGGGCTGCATGGTGAGACCCTGTCTTAAAAACAACAAAACAAAACAAAACAAAACAAATACAATTAAGTAAATTTGACAATTTTTCCCTTTTCAAGTAACCCCTCTATTCTCCCAAAAAAGATGGCAAAGTAAGTGAAAAGATAAAGAAATTTATCACAGAATTAGCTGGAATCTATAAAAATATCAAATGGACACTGATTATGACTACAGTGCAATTACACTGTATAGTCTATATAAATACAGTAGCCATAATTAAGGACTCAACCAATAGCAAATTGGACTTACCAGAAGATAACATTAATGATTGGAAGACAAATTGATAAAAAACACCAAAACTTAAGCAA